CATGCTAAGGGTATGGATACTGTCCTACCTCTGTGTGAATCACTGTATCGCCCAATGATCCCGATCGAGGACCTCCCCCTGGACCCCGACGAGTGGAAATGGACCCAAGGTACCAGGCCTACAGTCTTCCCCCGAATACAACGTACGGTCATTATAGCTGAATTTAGACCGACAGATACGCCAAATTCGGCTATAATGACTGTACGTTGTATTTGGGGGAAGACTGTACAAAGGGGGGGGCTGACACGTTGTCACTATACAACCTAAAATCTAAATCAGCCTACCGTATGCTCAGACCCAAAAGGGGGCTGCGAGATCGTGTGGAAGACAGATGGTACCGCCATCTTAATATTGATCGCAGCCTGCTCAAGCCCATTCGATGGTTTGCACAATATAGTTGCAGACCCGCTAAAATCTCTGCCCTCCAATGGCAAATAGAACACAGATGTTTACCTACTAACGACTGGCTGATAGACCACACCTGCCTGGAGCAACAAGGAAAGGCGCTGCCATGGTGTCGTAAATGCCTCCAGAGCTACCCTGGGAGGAGGAGGGCTGAAACTATTGAACACATCTTTCTTCAATGCCCTGCGTCAGTACTTCTGTGGAGAATCTGGGATAGGATCTGGAGGCATATTGTTCCCGGCGCGGAATGGCCATGGGATTGGAGGGCTATACTCCTGGGGTACTACCCGCAAATTCGAGATAATATCTTTGAGAAGAACACGTTCAACTTGGGAAGAAGGAGCGTTCTATGGACCATAGTGTGGAAATGATGTATCTTTGAGATAGAAGGGGCGCGGGTAGAGGATGGAGAAGTTACAGAACAGATCAGGACATTATTCCAACATGAAATTGCGACCCAATGGAAGGCTGTTAAAGACAAGCTTGACCAAATGCACAATTGGGGGGACATAAACAAAACTATTTCTTGCTTCGGCAAGAATTGGCTGGGAAGGGAAAGGGAGGGATGGGTGGCCGAGGTAAAATGGTCCAGGAGCGATCAGTTTGAGAAGGGACCACAGGAGGAACCCGGGATAGAGATAGAAAGGGATTACCGGCTGATCTTCCATGATTGGACCAGAGTAGACCCTGGAGAATCATTAAGGGCAGCTCATGACTTCGCAGACCCCTTCCCCCCCCACCCACTCTCCTTAATAGAAATTCTGCTGCCTGCATAAGCCAAGGGACCCAGCATGTAGCATTTCTGTTCTCAAGCCGTCGGGCCACTGTCTTCTCATTTGCACCTTCATCTTTTTTTCTTTCCTTCGTTCTTCCGTTCTTTCCCCCCTGTTTCTCTTATCTCCTTCATCTCCCTCCTTCACTTTTTTTTCTCTCTTTCATCTCCTTCCCAATAGTCTTCACAGTCTTCAACGGTCTTGCCCAGTCCGAATACGTTGGTGGTTTGGACCTATGTGGGCCCGCCTCTCAGTGAAGTTTTTTTGTAGTATCCTTTCAGAAATTCTCAGAAATTTCAGAATTCTTCGGAATGCTTCTGTATTTCTCAAAAAGATTTCAGCTGATTTCAGCTGATTTCACTGCAGCCTGTTTTCTGTTGCTTCAGCCTTTTCAAAACACATGCTATTGCAGAGTACAATGGGCGCCATGAGGATAGTCGGTGGATGGCAGAGGCTAGGGGATGGAGTGAGACTCCACTGGTGCCCCCCGGTGGTCCCCCCCCCAATACCCGACCCTGCTGCAGGTTAGGTATGGAAGAGTAGAGTGGATATGGGACACTGGACCACAGTTTCCAGCACTTTGGCGTCACTCTCTTGATGTACTGTGTAGCAAAGATGTACTTATGGGACGCTGGACCCGGTTTCCAGCAGGTGTTGCTCCCCACCAATAGATGGAGCGGCCCGCCAGGCAAAGCCTCAATCCCGGTGGTTCTCTTACCACCACCAGGATAGAGGTCTTGCACACGGACCTTCCGGAAAAAAAAAA